GTCAGCAGTTCGAAACTACCAGCTGCTCCGCGGGAGAAAGATGAGGCTTTCTACTCCCGTAAAGATTTACACCCTTGGAAACCCTGTACAAGGTCACTATGGGTCGGAACCGACTCGACGGCACTTAACAACAACAACAACATAGTGTTTCTGAGGATCGGCTAGTGGGTTTGAACTGCCGACTTTATTAACAGTCCAGTGCTTATCTACAGCACCACACCAGAACTCCAGAACTACATTGTAGTTTTTGTTAAGTGCCATCAGGTCGTTCCAATTCATAGTGACCTTGTATAGGGTTTTTGAGGAGCGGCTGGTGAGTTTGAACTGCTGACCGTGCTATTCAAACTGATCTTACAGTTGAAAGCTTATACTTCAGCGCCACACCAGGACCCCAGAACTACATTAGTCAGGCCCAATTAAATTATCTTCTTACCTTAACAAGCAATACTATCACTGAAAAGAAAGAAGGAAGAATTATTTAGTAAAGTAGCCACTTGTCTATTCTGGCTTGTTTTTCATAATAAGTATGTGGGTTTAGTCTCTGAAGCAGGAGTGGAGGGCATCCAGCCCATGGACTGTAAAAGGTCTGCAAAATCATTTGGTCTGACCCTGCCAAGGCAACCTCAGTTCTAGCCATCACATTAGGGGTAAGTTAATTAAATGTCTGACCAAATATAGCAGACTCAATTTTAAGTGGATAGTTTGGTACTTAGGTACTTTGTTGAAAATCAGTAGGCTGTATGTGGATGGGTTAATTTTTGGATTCTCAATTCTGTTCCATTGATCAATGTATCTTTCATTTATACCAGTACCAGGCTGTTTTGACCACTGTAGTTGTGTAGTAAAATTTTAAATCAGGGAGCGAGAGGCTTCCCACCTTGTTCTTCTTAAGCAGTGCTTTGCTTCTCCTGGGTTTCTTTCCTTTCCATATAAAGTTTGTAATAGTTTCTTCCATCTCTTTGAAGAATGTCATTGGAATCTGGATTGGAATTGCATTATATGTGTAAATTGCTTTGGGCAGTATTGACATTTTTGCAAAATTAAGTCTTCCTATCCAGGAGCATGGTTTATTCTCTCATTTTTGTAATTCTCTTTTGGTTTCTTGTAGTAGTGTTCTGTAGTTTTCTTTGTGTAAGTCCTTTGTTTCTTTGGTTACATTTATTCCTAGATATTTCATCCATTGGGTGGCTATTGTAAATGGTATTGTTTTCCTAATATCCTTTTCAGCGCCGTTGTTATTGGTATAGAGGAATCCTACTGATTTTTGGATGTTGGTCTTATACCCTGCTACTTTATTGAATCCTCCATTGACGTGTAGTAGCTTTTTTACTGAGTCTTTGGGGTTTTCTACGTCTTTACATACTGTCTGCAAATAGAGAGAGTTTTACTTCCTCTTTGCCAATTTGGATGCCTTTGATTTCCCTATTTTGCCGTATAGCTCTGGCTAAGACTTCGAGCACAATATTGAATAGGAGTGGTGACAAAGGGCATCCTTGTCTGGTTCCTATTTGGGAGGGAAGGCTTTCAGCTTCTCTCCATTGAGAGTGATATAGCCTGTTGGTTTTGTATAAATGCTCTTGATTATGTTGAGGAATTTCCCTTCAGTTCCTAATTTGTTGAATGTTTTTATCAGGAATGGATGTTGGATTTTGTCAAATGCCTTTTCTGCTTCAATCAATATGATCATGTGTTTTTTTTTTTTTTTCTTTTTT